CTGTATGCTTTTAGCCACACAAAAACATCAGCTCAGTCTACCACCTTCTCTTTTATATTATGTTTGTTAAAAGTAAGTTTAATTAAGATTTATAATTGCTGTTGGATTAGAGCCTCCTTGGTCTCCCACTGGCAGGGAATGATTTAAGCATTCCAGCTGATTCACTTGCAAGTTTGAAGAGCTATTTCTATCATGTACAGCTACTGTTAGGCACCATCTCTCATGCTGCCTATTCTTCACAGACCAATCTGAATGAATGCAAGAGATGTGCCCCTTGATGTCTCATCTTATTCTGCATGTACCTCTTTCATATCTTTTTGAAAAGTGGTAATTAACCAAAGCAATTAAGATGATTAGGCATAAACATGCAGATGTCTTGTTTGTAGAGCAGAACCTCAATGTTGTATCTATTGTAGATAGATTTACTATATATTAAATATCTCAGAGAGCAGGAAACTGTTAACTTCACACAAGTTCAGTGTTTCTTCCTTTGGGAAGGAGTGACTTTTCCATGCCACATTGTGCTAAAAGGTGATTTAGTTCATTGTTTCACCACACACTGAGTAATGCTGACAGTTAAGTCTAGATGCAAGTGGAAAACTTTTTTCTACAACCATGAATTACTGCTGATTTCACATTTAATGCATGATGCAGATTCATCCTGAATTATTTAAAGTATGATTTCCACTGAGCACCTAATATACAACAGTGTGGTGCACGCAGCTGCTACACATAAGAATGCTGTATGAATCAAATTCTGCTTCCAGTTACACAATTTTAAGTCTAAAGTAACTTCACGGACCTCAGCAAAATATTATTATGGATGTATGTCAGAGGAACATGAGCAAAATTTGGTTCAATATGTAATCATTCTGTGTATGAAGACGTCTACAAGATTTTAGAGAAGGGAGAACCTATTTTGAAATGGACAATATAGAATGTACTGAATGACTGGTAACATTGTACAAGTTCACATTACTCATTACAGGTGTGTAAGTTTGCTATACTGCAATTAAATGTACTTTGCAATGGATATAACGAATTGGTGCTTCTTCACAAACATATATTCAAATACACTGCTGGAGCTATCAGTCGGAGAAGCAGATTTGTCCAAATTACATTTGAAAAACTAACTAGTGCCATGTGTATTAATTTGCAGGATCAGATCCTACGAGTGGCTGAGATTCTTTATCCTCACAGCCACATGTTCGCAGGGAGAAGATTATATCCTCAAAAATTAAATAAGATTCTAGTAAATATAAGAGATTTTGACCCTATATTATCAGCATAGAGATAATTATCTTAGACATTGACATCCTAGGACAAACCTGCGATAATTCCTTGCAAATGAAGGGAAAGTGGCCTTTCCAGTAAAGGTCATCACGTGATGTTAACTTCTAGTTATCAAGAAATTCAACTGTTCATGCATTTTCTCTCTCTACATAGTGTGTATGTAGATATGTACTAGTTACCGTTAGTCAACATTACCCTTAGATACCGCACAATGGCCCAGATTATCCCTTTGCACAGAAAAAACAATAGGAGGGGGGGTTCTGAGTGAGAAGATATCCACAAGGATTCTGTTGCCAAGATTCCCCCATATTGTTCTTACGTGGCATAGTTTGCCCCAACCCCAAGGAAGTGTCTCTAGCAACTTCCATGATCCCCCCACAGACTGGCATCTTCTCATACCCCCACATCACTCAGATCTGTGGGAGTCTCAGGGCATCTGCATAGAGGCCCCCTGTGCCTCCACATCAACTCCGACCCCCTAGTTCCTTCATCTCCTTGGAAGACATAACATAGCCCCAGACTCCACTCTCTTTGCTACTAATTTCTATAGGTTGCAGAGGGGACGATGGGCCCACTCCTTCCCCTGGCCTGCCCAGTCTCCACCCCTTTCCTCAACATTGACTCTGGAAAAGGTTCCAGAGTGCTTGGACCAACAGGGGATGCCATAAAAAAAATGGCAGAGACCCCTTCCATGTAGAACAGGGAACATCCAGGCATGGATTTGGAGTGGGAGGGGAGAAACAGGATGAACTGAGCTTGTGGTACTTCAGACCACATGGTTATTTCTTATGGAGAAACTATTAACATTCTCACTTTTTAATGGCAAAATCCCCCCCATACACACACTTGAACCGAACTACCCATTCATTAAACGATAAAATCACAACACTGAGGTCATGCATGTGTAATGCTGACAGACCCAGGTCATCAGCTGGGATCAAACCCGGGACCTCTGAAGCTTAATGCATGAGCCTCTGTTGCCTGAACTCAAAGACATCTTTTAGCCAAGCTGTATCAGGCTCAACAATCTCTAGCTGCCCTAGCCACCACTGAAGAGGAGCAGAGTGCTACAGCAAGCAGGCATGGGTGGCACAAAAAACTAGATAGACCTTTGTACTGCTCAAGGGTGACAACAAATGAGCAGTATGCTGGCCGGATCCAAGCCATAGCAGCTATGTTGGGAAGTGTACAGGGCTGGCCTTACCATGAGGCAAACTGAGGCGGCCACCTCAGGTGCCAGACTGCGGGAGGGGGGCGGGGGGCGCACTAGGACCCAGAGTGTAGAAAATGGTGTCTGCTGCTGGTGCATATGTATTCTCTCTGCTCTAGATGCACAGAGATGGTGGAGTGTGTGCTGGAGGAAGGAGGGCACGAGA